AGAGAAAGTAGAAAGAAACTGCGGCCATCGGTGACTGCGGGCCTCGGTCCACGATCACCAGATGCACAAAAGACAAAAGGGAAAACTAGAGCAGTGTCACGGTCTTAGTTTAAATTCCAGTGCCGATTTCGTGAAGGTTGTGCCAAACCAGGAAAATCGTGAATGTATACAATCCGGTCTTAGGGTTCAGTGGAGATGTGCTGTATTCGAGGGATGTCTGCAATAGATTTTAAACTGCGCCCTAGTTACCCCAAGACAAAATTTATCGCGGTGTACCCTTCCATGTTCCAGCGAAAGACTCATTCTCATTGTGCACATTTAGTGAGTGATTGTGCGAGGCCCCTTGAGATGGGGCAAGTGAGATTTAGTCTCATTGTGCACATTTGGTGAGTGGTGTAGGGAGGCCCGTTGAGACGGGGCAACTGTTATGCCCTCGCCCTTTTTATCGAGAGAGCCACCTCTTCCTTTTGTATGTTAAAAAAAAATAAAAAATGGGAGAAAGGAAATATCAGCAGAGGGGAGGACGAAAGGAGAAGAACCTTAAGAAAATAGTAGACTGTAGGGGAAGGGAGAGAGAGAGAGAGAGAGCAGTAGATGGCAGGAGAGGCAGCGACCAAGACGGAAGGGAAGTAGCGTTTCTCATATGTTGCTCCCCTCAGGTAAGGCAGCCAGTTTGCAAAAGAGGAAGAGATGGAGGGAGAGAGGAGCAGTAGGAGGAAGAGGAGGAGGAGAAGGAGGATTGTGAATTTATGCATAGCCAGCCAAAAATCCAAAGTAATCAAAACAATGAACGTCATGATCACTCGTAGATGTACTGTAGTTCGTGAAGTGAGTAACTATCATCGTTTTCTAGTTTTATAATGTGGGAGTTTGCAAGTAGAAAACCCTGATCGTAATCACAGATCAGGTTAATCACAAATTAATCAATGAAATTCAATGTAGCCAATTGGTCGTCCGGCTGGGGTTTCTATCTGTACAGTAGTTGCATCTTTGTTTCCACTCCCTGACAACTTTCTATCTCCCTTATACGAACAGACACGCATGCATCAGCGTCTCCCCTTTCCTCTCATCTCTCAGCGGACAGCTCCACAGCCCCCTATTGCCCCACGGGATGATGCAGGCATGTAACTGTTAGTGAACAGATTATGAGTTCAAGTCCGGCTGGAATCAGATGGATGCGGTAATGCTGGGGCGAGTGGGCTACTGAATTGGGACGTATGGTATATCTCCACTTAGCGATTGGATTACCATCATGATGTCCACGGACCTCGATCCACTATTCTCCACAAGCACAAAAGATAAAAGATATGGCGGTGTATCTTTCAATTATCTAGCAGAAGATTCATCCTCATTTTGCATATTATTTGGTGACTAAAGGAGCAAGGCCATCGGGTATGAACTGGCAGAAAATGACGCATGCAGTGAGACTCAGCGATATGAAAACGAGCAAGAAAGGAAACACGTCTACTCGAGACTGAAACGAAACAAAGAGAGTGTGCTCAGCGAAAGAGAGAATGACATGGACGAGAGCATAAGCGTATCGAAAAAAACTGAGCATAGATTGAGATAATCAGACCAGCCCGCAGGGTAGGAGACGCGATGCAACTAGAGAGACAAGATAGAAGGCAAGGGATGAGGAGGAGGAAGAGGAGGTGTTAAGGAGGTGAAGAAAAAGAAGAATCAGAAGAAAGAGAAGGAGAAGAAGGATGGCGTTGGTGAAGGCAGGGAGGAGCAGAAGGGGAATGAAGAACGCCGACGAAGCCCATCCATCCAATCTTTTGTTTTTTTTTTCTCAAGAGATGACAGCGCTTATCGGAACAATATCCAGGAAAGGCATATAACATAATCTTTTAGCCTACCTTCAAAACCAAGCACGCAAAATTGCACCAAATTCTCACACCTTATTCAAATAAACAATGAGAGCAATACACAGACTGTACACAGGCAATAAAAACAAGGGCTAAAACAAGGGAGGATTTATTTATAAACAAAAAAAAAAACTAAAAACAAAAAAAGGAAAAAAACCTGCTATGTTACAACTGATCTCCCACCGTCCATAACCTTGGATCGGGTCTCAACTTCGTACAGACCAAATCTGCACGAATTGAATTAAATCTTCTATTTTTTCATTTTCACTGCTATCTACGCGGATACTCACACAGAAGGTGGCTTGGTAAGGTTCCAATTCGAACCAATTGAACTTATTCCCGCCAAAACACAGCAAAGAAAATGACTGTACATGAACCAACCACGTGTCACTCACTCCTAGAACTCGTTGTTGTACATATCTACCTTGCGCAAGAGAAATGCTAAAAAAGCAGAAAGATATTCGGGAATCTGTTATATAATAGTTGTCTTTGCCTTATTGCAGGATCTGGGCACCAAGGGGATACCGACGGCGATGGACCTACTTCGTCATTCGAGTATTTGGGTGAGATTGTGGCGACTCCGGACGGCTGCAACATCTTTGCCACGGATACCGTTCATCACCGCTTACACTGGCTGAAGCTAGACTCCCCGTGCAGCACCGCGCGGAGTGTGGAGACTGTGGGCAGAATCCCTGAGGTAAGCTTGCGAGGACTAGCGCTTCATCAGTACGGCGGCGAGCTGCTCTTGTACGTCGGAGCTACTGACGGCTCCCTGTTCGAGCTCAAACTCAACAGCTCTGCACTGCATACTTGTGCGTCCGCCACGCCATCGCCGTCCAGCATTCGCACATATAGTTCTCCTCCTACCTCAGATTCATTCCCTCCTCCCTCCCTCGTTGCGGGTCCGTCCTCGCCGTCCATTTCTCCCTATCCTCCGTCTAATGCGGGCAGTCCTGCGGCCCAAGTGTCCAAAGAGAGCCCTTCTTCTTCCTCGCACTCTCCCAATCTTGGGCTCATGGTCTCGTTGCCAGTGTCATCGCTTGCGCTCATTTGCCCTATCGCCTGCGTGGCATTCTTCGCCTGCAAGGCCCGCCAGCAGCAAGGGTGGCAGTCTGCTCCGAATAGCGAAGGATTCAGGATGACGAAGACGATAACTTCTCCTCCGTCAACGGCGAAAGCTATCGAACAAAAGGAGGGAGAGGAGCCTCGACCAATGGAGGTTAAGCGATTCTCGCTGGCAGTGCTTTCTCACTGCACTAGTGATTTCTGCCAAAGCTATCGTACTGGGGACAGCGGGGCCTTCGGGGACGTTTACTGGGGATCGATCGGCGAAAATCAGCAGCTGGCAATCAAGCTGATGTCGGGCAACCTTACTCCCGCCAAGCGCAGTATGTTCCTTGCGGAAGTGAACACGTTGAGCAGACTCCATCACGCCAACCTCATCCGGTTGGGGGGGTACTGCGACCAGGGAAATCGTTCCATCTTGGTGTACCCCTACTTCCCAGGCGGCAGTCTGTACGCTCGCCTTCACACAAGAGAGACAGCTGTCCCCGGTAGACCCCTTCTCCCGCCTCTGACGCTGATGGAGCGATTGTGCGTCGCCTTGCAGATCGCCAAGGGGTTGGCCTACCTTCACGACGGTGCCGACCCCCCGATCATCCACCGGGACATCAAGAGCAGCAACGTGCGTCTGGGCGATGGCACCGGGAAGAAGCTGCGGGTGCTTCTGGGCGATGGCACCGGGAAGAAGCTGCGGGTCGTTGTAGCGGACTTCGGTCTAGCAGCCATCGTCGGGACAGAACGCCAGACAGTGGTGAAAACCTCGCGGCAAAGTACATGCTGTCCGGGATTGTGTCGGAGAAGATCGACGTGTACGCTTTCGGCGTGATCCTGCTGGAGCTGCTGACGGGGAGAAAGGTGGTGTCGCCGTCACCGTCTGGCGCGGGTTGGCAGACTCTTGTGGACTGGGTGAGATCTCGTCTCGGACGCAGGCATGGGACTGAACCAGGGGTGGAGCTGTACGGGATTCTGGAACCACGCGGCGGGACTCCAGTTCAATCACGCCGTGATGGAGACGTTGCGGTTGGCGGCAGAATGCGTTGTCGAGGACTACGAGTGTAGGCCGACGATGAGCATGTTAGAGGCGACGATTGCCAGCCTGCTCAACGAAGGGAATGTATGTTCGCGGCAGTATTAGATGATGATGAGATGATGAAGATGATCTTGGGCTGTCGACCGCCGAGGGGAGACCGCGGTCCCTCCCGAGCAACAACGCCACGGTATATGGCCACGTGTTGCTGGCGGAAAGGAGAAGAAGGAGAAGAAGAGGGAAGGAGAGGGTATGGGAACTGACCGAGCGGGCAGAAGTATCAAGCCCACGATGAAGGCCGTTCAACGCGAAGAACGGAGAGATTGATGAATGAATAGCGGAACGTTGGCAGTGGAATGGAGGCCTTGAGAATTTTTCGTTGCCGGGTCAGCCAGGTGGAGGGATGGGGAGAAGAGTGGGCACTGGGCGGGGTAGTGGCTGACGTGGGCGGTTTGTCGAAGAAGACGAAGCTGATAATCGACGATGAATAACATCGGCGCGAGAGTTGCTGTCGATTGTCATTAGGCACTGACGTCCTACGTTCAGATGGGCAAACAACACAGCAGCCCATGCATGTACACGACTGCTACACACGGGTAACTGTTAGGACACGCGTACTGAGTTCGAACCCCGGTCAAATCAGATGCATACTATACAGAAAGTTTAGAAAATGCATTTGGACAAAGTTTGATAGCCGCCGGAGGTTATCTGAAAGCGGAGCTTCTTTTCTTTTTGTTCGTAACTGTGGAGGTTGGGGTTCTCTTAACGTCAACTTCATGAACTCCTCATATCATATGGGATGCCGAAAATAGCCTTGAAGGGGGGAGGAATCGGGAAGCCGGTGCCGTAGCGCTCTGCTTTGGTGACGCATGCGCGATTAGGGTTTCTTTCTGTAGAATGCGGAGTTCAAACGCCATATCCCAGGGCGCTTAGCATGCTAGAGACGTGTCACATAGCCGTCGAGTTTCAATGTGAACTCGAGCACTTCGTGATAAGGACTTGTCCCAGGGTCGGGGGAGGAGAGGCGGGGCTGTATCGGACAGAGGAGAACTGTTCTGTGCAAGACTACAAGGAACCATTGAACCAAGGACGCTGCCTTGGCAGTGGGCTTCCTATGGAACCTGTTGGTGCATCTAGCAGATGTTAGAGGCTAGGTTAACTACATTGGGGAATCGGAGGAACGGCTTTTTTGGGGCCGTTCTCACTGCGAGACGCCCTTCCCTTAGACTGTGGAGAAGGGGGAGGATACCTGCTCGCTGCAGAGGTGGATATCAAGATTTCCAGGGGAGTCGGTAGTATCGACCCATGGTCCCTGTTCTGGCGCCTGAGCTTGAACTCCTCCATCACGTCTGACGCGTGTAACGAGGCAAAGCCCATAGAGGAAACTCATTAGAACGATGCCACAGAGAGTGACCACCGGAATCATGACCTTGAGAGGTACACGTCGACAGCCACTACACGAAATTGAGGGTTCACTCCGTAGCGGAGGAACGCTCTCCCCTGAGACGGCCGCAGGACTTGCTCCTGGAGTTCGGCGTGGCGGATCGTCGCTGCCGTTAACAACGACGGCCGTCGCACTGTCAGTCAACGGAGGGGAGGAGGAAANGCTGCCGTTAACAACGACGGCCGTCGCACTGTCAGTCAACGGAGGGGAGGAGGAAATGGGAGTACTCTTAGACGGCGGAATGGCGGCGGGAAGCAAGCACGTGTGCAGCTGCGACTTATCGATCTCAAGTTCGAGAAGGTGGCCGTCATCTGTGCCGATATACAGATGCAAACGGTCGTTGAGCTCAAGGAGCGCCGGTCCCCAGAATCCCTTCGTGGAACTTCGCGCCACCGTCTCCACCCTCTGTGCTTTTCCGCACGGCGAGTCTACCTGCACCCAGCTAAGGTAGCCTGACACTTCCAAGACGAAGACGTTACACCCGTCCGATGTCATCGCCATATCTCGCAAGCCAGCGAAAGAGACGTTCAAACCATCGCCTCCGACGTCSGTAAGATTGCCGTTATCCGGTGACGGAGTTCCCGCCAAAACAGTTGGGCGGGAAGAGGACGACTCTGTCCAAAGTGCCGACTCGACTCTCCATATCCGATCGCTAGGTCGATCCCATAGAAGAACACAGCCGTCTGCAGAGTGCAAGTCAGAAAGAGAAGTCGTCTGAGTGCCGATGGCGACCTGGGATGCGTCCGGCTCACCGCTGCGGGAGTCGAAGACTGCAATTGTTTCGACATTCATCCCGTCGATGGGGAAGCCTGATGGGCCAATCRACAGAGAAAGAAGGCGAGCCGGCTTGTAATTATCTACCATGTACAGCTYTGTCTTCGTCGGATTGAGCGCTAAGGTTGAGATCTTGTCAGCTGCCAYAGGGATGGACGTTCGGGAGCCATCGCTCGTCGACAGCAAGGTCAGATTCGCTGAAGACAGACCGAGAAGGAGATGCGATCCGTCCGGGGAGAGATCCATGCCCTCCGCCATAGCCAGAGTCAATGAGCTCTGATTGCTCTCGAACACGGTGGGGGAAGAAGACGTAGGCGCTTCACCGTCCAGACCGTGAACGGCCCACCCATAGCTGACGACGATCGACTCCTCAAGGACGGATTTCCTTCCCTCTATCACGTCAATCAGATCCGCTTTCCTGAAGGAAAGACGCGATTGAGCAATGATTCCCTGGACAGTGCAGCGCTCTTCGAGAATGTAATAGAACCGCGTGCTGTTCGGAAGAAAGACGATGTTGCGCACCATCGATCCGCACCAAGATGAACCGTTCCCCGCCGTCGATCTGTCGAAGGGTGGCTGGGGTGTGTGGGCGAGCACAGCTCTCGCCGTGATGTTCACAAACAGAGACGGGTGCAGGACCGTCAACTCGGACGGGGCCCGCCCTGCAGCACCTAGCGACCGACTGCCATCTTCCCTACCCGGCTGGGAATCGACGCGAAACTCCCGATCCCACGGATGGGAGTGAAGGGTGCTTTGTACCTGGACACATCCGCTGCTGCTGCCAACCATTAGGGTAAAGAATAGCAGTACCACAGACCAATAGCGCGGTCGGAGTTGGCTGCCATCGACGAAGAGCCCGGCGCGCATAATGGAAGCCCAACTCCTCCATATCAGGGAACCATAATTGTAGGCCATATCCGGACAGGCTATCTCCATCTGCGCCCTAATTTGATTCCCAGCACTGACAAACAAACAAAGGAGGTCGCAGCGCTGCGTGCCCATGCCGCGAGCTCTGCTACTATGTTCTGACGACTGAGGGTTTTGAACTTCGGTTTTGGTGTCGGGGCGGCGCAAGCTACGAATAGGGCCGTCGGCGATTCCCGCGCAACATGTCGTCTACCTAAGTCTGCCGGGATCCGAACTTTAGAAAATCTCGAGACGTCACTGACTTTGACACCCGTGTGCGGAATTGCTTCGGTCCCGATGTGGTTGTCGCCCGAACACGTACAAGATGGGCCAAACAGTCATTCATTGTCTTTGCGAATTGCCAAAAGCACTCTTATGGGTCGTTGATGCGGGGTTTGGGTCCGTTCGGCTCAGAGTTTCGTGCTGCTTGAACAGATTTGTGGTTCAGTGACCACAAGGTCCCCGTCGCAAGAGCTTCGTGCTTTCTGAAAGTCATGGAGATCCCGGTTGGTGGGCCTTATTGTTGGATCTGGATCTGTTTTGAGCAGAGTTTCGCACTCCACAAACAGAATTCCCGTCCAGTTCTCGCAGGTTATCAGTTGTTCGTCCAGTCTTTCGAGATGCTCAATTGCGATTGGGGTGAGCTTGGTGGGCCTTTTTGTTGGATCTGGATCTGTTTTGAGCAGAGTTTTGCACTCCACAAACAGAATTCCCCTCCAGTTCCAGCAAGTTATCAGTTGTTCGGGCAGTCTTTCGAGATGCTGAATCACAACTGTGGCGAGCTTGGTGGACCTTCTTGTTGGATATGGATCTGTTTTGAGAAGAGTTTCGCACTCCACTAACAGAATTCTCCTCCAGTTTTCACAGGTTATAAGTTGTTCGGGCAGTCTTTCGAGATGCTCAATCGCATCTGGGGCGAGCTTGGTGGGCCTTCTTGTTGGATCTGGATCTGTTCCGAGCAGAGTTTCGCACTCCACAAACAGAATTCTCATCTAGTTCTCGCAGGTTGTCAGTTGTTCGGGCAGTCTTTCGAGATGCTTCATCGCAACTGGGGCGAAAGTGGCAGGCCTCCCGGGACTGTGGAACACTAGAACTTCACCGGCATCCGAACAAGAATGTCGCTCGGTGCTTCAAAACTACAAAGAATTGAAGTTGTGGCAATTCAACGCGGAACGACGAACGGCAATGACAGACGGTTTCCATCGAAGTCCGCAGACATCCGAACTTCACGCAATGCGGCAAGGGTCGTGCGGTCCGCTGTCGCTTTGGACACGAACTTCACGCAATGACGAACGGTTTCGGTCGAAGTCCGCCGACATCCGAACTTCACACAATGCGGATACGGTCGTGTGCTATGTAACCGGTTGAACGCGTTGAACGCGCGTTCACGTTCAAACACGCGCATTCATACCCCCCGGGGCCGCGTTCAAACGCGTTGCATGCCACGTGACACGAAAAAAATGAACGCAACCCCGGGAGGCGCGCGCTCGCATCGCGGACTACAAGGGGGTGGACCTCGTTCAACAAACCCCGAAACTGCAAAAAAAACACCCCCCAGAGACCTACCCCCCTACCGCAGCATCCCTCACCATATTTGAAAGTTCCTTTTTTTTTCTTGAAGTGGGGGAATCCCCGTGAGACGGCTCAGACGGCGTATGCAGACCATCTGAAGGGTCCTCGCAGCCATATAGCGCAGACCCCCCCACCAAAACCAAGGCAGGCAGTCAATATGAAGCAGCGCACGAGCTAGCCGAATATATAGTCAAGATTCGAATTCAGGTCTGTGTTTCAGCAGTTATGGGTTGCTCAGGTAGCTAGGCCCTTCACGTGATTCTCAGGGCTTGGCTGCACTACTCACCAAATGTGCAGAATTAGAATGAATCTTCTGCAGAACATGGAATAATACGCTTTTGTCTTTTGTGGGCCCTTACGGCCACTGCACATATTCCTAAGAAAAGAAAAACGAGAAAAAAAGAAAAATGAGAAAAAAGGAAAATGAGAAAAAAGAAAAAACAAGAAAAAAGAAAAACGATTTTTTTCTCGTTTTTATTTTCTTAGGAATACGTGCAGTGACCCTAAGGGCCCACAAAACACTGAACATATGGCGGCGTATTATTCCATGTTCTGCAGAAGATTCATTATAGTTTTGCACATTCGGTGAGTAGTGCAGCCAAGCCCTGAGAATCACGTGCAAGGCCTAGCAACGTGAGCAACCCATAACTGCTGAAACACAGACCTGAATTCGAATCTTGACTATATATTCGGCCACCTCGTGCTCTCCTTCATATTTACTGCCTGCCTTGATCATGGTGGGGGGGTCTGCGCTATATGGCTGCGAGGACCCTTTACATAGCCTGCATGGCCCGTCTGAGCCGTGTTAGGGGGACTGCCCCGCCCCCCCGAAAAAAAAAAGGACCCTTCACACACAGACACAGACATTGACACACACACACACACATTCACACACACACACACACAAAATTTTACATACACACCTTTTTTTTTCTTTTTTTTTTTCTTGCCCGTTTTGGCCCTCCCCCAAGCACAGCCGCCGCTTCCCACAGTGCCCACAGGCCCCCCAAGCACCGCCGCAGCTCCCCAGCGCCCCCGACGGACCTCGTGGGCGTGGGTGGCGCTCTGCGAATTCGCGTTCAACGCGTTCAAAAACTGAACGCGGAACCCGCGTTCAACGAACGCGCGGTAAGATAGGCTGTGTGGTCCGTAGAAAACGAGAGAGAGGTCCAAATCCATTTGCGCTAACTGAGGGTTCTGTGTTGCGCTCTACCAAGATAATTTTCGTGTTCGTCAGTATGACGTGCCTCGCTGCCCTTCCCGCAATAATCTAAGTTCGGATCCCGACGAATTACGGTTCTTTCCACGAAAATGATGGCCGCATGACGTGTGTCCCCTTTGCCTAGATTGTTCACGTTGCTCGGCGGGGCTTGTGAAAGGGCTTCATGTTTGAAGTGCGCCGTAATCCGAACTTTTTGATTTTGGATCGACGTAATGTGGCCGACGTGTGCAGCAAAGTGTTTCCCGCCTGTGTTTGTGATGCTTCGTTACCGCCTGCGTTGTGGTTTGACTGTGACTTGACGGTTTCTGCTCTAGTTTTCCCGAACCTAACAGCGTGGTGGTTTCCTTCGGTTGCGTTGTCGTCCGCAGACACGATGTCTTCGTCGAGGGGTGAGGGGGAGCCCGTCGGGACCTCCCGGATGGGATCTGGAAGAGATTCTACAAAACGGTCGTTTACGGCCTCGAAATCATGGTCGGACCACTCTAGGTCCAAATGGTTCGTTGACTGGTGTTGTGGGGATGCTTCGAACCCCGTTAAACAGTCGTGTGGTCCTGTCATCTTCGTCGACGCCAACAAGTGGAGTAGGGTTCTAGGAGCCATCTTGCGGTGGGAGGACAAGAAATGCAGTCGTCGACGGTTCTATATGAAAAATGTTTACGGTGTGAAGGGCAACATCGTCGCCAATTCCAAGGGGGCGTTACTGGACATGGATTTGTTCGAGGGGTTCGAAGCGAGTGCTGTGAACACCCCATTCTACAATGACCTCTTGCGGCAGGGCGGGTTTGTTTTGGGTCGAGAGTTTTTTAACTTGTTGGAGGAGGAGGACGTCGACCTCAACGTCCCCTGCGACGTCGGCCCCGCCCAGGAGCTGTCAATGCCCTTGTAGCTGTGCGGCGGTTGTGAGTCCAACGGGGCCGCGTTTGAGGGGGGGGATCTGGGTTCCGGTGAGGCTACTAAGCTGCGGCGGGTGGAGAGCCGCGGTCAATTTGACGACAGCGAAGATGAGGCAACACCGCTACCCACGTCTTCGTCGTTGATCCCAAGAGACCGGTTTGTGTTGTCTATACCTGGGGTCCCACAAACAACCTCGGTTCGACAGGAGGCCGCAGCGGATCCTGGAAAGGCGGCAGTCCAGTGTCGGCTCGACTTGGAAACTGTCGAGGACCATGGCACAGAGGACGAGACTGTGGGCGGAGAGGGAACGCAGGGCGCTCCGCAAAAAAGAAGGGGTGATCGTCAAGACGACTTGGTCGGCTCTTCGAAGAATTAGAAGACCAAGGCCCCGAAGAGTGCGGGGGAGAAACGGAAGGGAACGGGGGGGGAACAGGACCGTCCGGGTGGCAAATGTGAGACTTCGACTTCGACACAGAAGCAGCCTGCTTCGGGACCTGCCTCGCCACGGCCTGTCATCGATGTGGACGCCGGGTACTTCCTGGAGTACCAAGACGGCGTCAGGACAAGGCGGGAGTTTGAGATTAGCCCGGCTCAGGTCGTCGACCTCGGGGAGTTGGAGGATCTATACAACCAGCGGTCCCTGGATCCAGTTCTGCTTGAAGGGATAAAAGAAGCCATGTGGTTGACGTTCGAAAACAAAGAACAGTCGCACGAGTTGCCAACCCTGAAACTCACACCGCTGGGGCTGCAAAACCCAACTCCCGGGAACAAGGCACAACGTCTGAAGCCAAAGGAAGGGAAGGACGAGCTGGCGGGACAATACTGCTACTACGCGGTGTGTGGGCAGCATAACGCGGCTGCGGCCCGATCGCTGCTCGGTAGCGAGGTAGCCAAGAATTACAATTTCGAGCGGTGGCCGGCACGAATGGTGTACTTTTAAGACAATGACTTCGAAGGGTATTTTCTTGTTAGTTCTCAGGATAACAAGAAGGACCTCAAGGCACCTCCTAGACATTTGAAACTGTCTATGAAAAACATTTGGTGGCAGTGGACGCATGACGTTTTCCCTAGAGCGTGAATCCTAGCGGGAAACAAGATCTGGTCTGGAAATGGCGTGAGTTTTGTAAAGTGGCGCTCCGTAAGGCGCCGAACTACAACTTGTGGATTCTCGCGGATCAAAAGGGAGAGGACGCCATTAAGAAGCAAAATGCTGTCCCGCGTTTTTATTTCCCTCTGGCGATGGCCGAAGAAAATGTCTGGAAACTGGCCATGGAATTAATCGAAAAATGGAAGACGGGTAGATTGCTGGGCCACGACGGAGCAAAGTGGATCGTCAAGAAGAGGAAGGTCAAAAACGTAAAGACTGGGGTCGCCTACATCGACAACGACAAGTTGGGAAGAAAGGAAGTGGTATACAACGTTCTCGTGGAGGCGCCGACTAAGAAAGGCAAAAAGGAGAAAGAGGAGGGCGATTGGTTCGTGCAAGTGCCGGAGCCGGACACGCATTGTTGGAAAGCGATTAAAG